TAAGGGTGATATAGAGATATCTTTTGTTGGAACCACTGATCAGCTAGCTGACATTTTTACTAAACCTCTATTAGAGGAGAGATTTTGTGAATTACGAGATTTACTTTGCATTACTTGTTTTCCTAATAAGTTCTAGGACCTATGTGTACTTTTATAATTTTATAGGGTAATGATTGTCCTTCACTCACGCATTAATTACCCTCCGTCTCTTTTCCCTCTCTTTTCTTTTCTTTCACATCAGTTCGTCATTCAAAGATGGAAAGCCAATCATCACGTCCCTTCAACTGACAACTTTTCCTTTTCTGTACTCAACCGCCAAATATCCCTTCTTAAAGTAGAAAACCCTTTTCAATCACATTCATCTTCATCTTCTCTCCAAAAACTCTGTTCAAGCTTTTCTCTTCCAATGGCTAAGCACCCCAGAAATCCATCTGCCTCCACCAGAAAAAGCACCCGTTCCAAAGCAAAACCCCCATCTATGCCTCCTGAACAGGTAGACCTAGGGTAAGATCACTCTGAGGGTTTCGCCTCTTCTCAGGGTGACTTCTCTGAACATTCTCCACTCCTTGGAGAAAAAGCGTTGGGTAAGCGACCCATGGAAGACCCCCCTATCTCGTCCACCCCAAAGAAATCAAAGGTTGATTTCTCTGCTTCTCTTGAATCTGACCTCAATTTCTGGGATTCCCCAAATAAAGATCTCTTTCTTATCTTGAAAGAAAAACCCATTGCCCATGGAAGGATTGTTGATCTTGACGACATGGAAGCCCTCAATTGCAAAATCAAAGACCTTTTCGTTTATCAAGGTTGGGATAAGTTCCTCTCTATTCCTCCGCCTAAGGTATATGAACCCCTAGTTAGAATGTTTTATGCAAATCTTCGTTCTAGCAAACCAAATAGGTCAGAGTCCTTAGTGTTAGGAAAGCGCATTGTTCTTGACTGTGCTCCGTTTGACTCACTTTTTCAGTGTCATTGTTCTGGTTTTCCTACCCTGTTTAAAAAATCTTGGCCTGATAACTTTGAAATTTCCTTTGACCAAGCCAAGCAATGTATCGTTGAGAGTCCCTCGGATCCCCTTCCAAACCAGTTAGGTCCAAGTGATGTTAGCTTCGAAACCAGGGTTCTGGCCCACATAGTGGCAACTACTTTGCTTCCCCGCACTGGTTCCTTTTCAACCTTCTCCCAGAGAGACACACTCTTCGTCTATTGCCTCGTCACCAAACTTAAAATCAAGCTTTCCTCGTGGGTCATCAATTTCATGATCGAAAGTGCTGAAGATTCCACCAGTCTTCCCTATGGCATGGCAATCTCTCACATTCTGGAAGCTCACCAAATTTCCCTGTCCAGCTATCCCTTCATCACTGTCTCCAAGTCCTACAACTCTAGAGCCTTTGCTAGTATGGGATATGTGAGTGTCGAAGGCACCTGGGTTAAGAAGCATGATAGTGAAGCTAAGCATACCCCTGTACAGCCTAAACCTTCACCCTCTTTTCCTCCTCCTAGTCTTGACAACACTGATCTTGGTGAAAAGCTTCGTGCTATCACCTCCCAACTCTCTGAACTCAAAGATCTTCTCACAACCACTCAGTCTATTGTTGGTGATATTCATGCTCTTTCCAAGGAAACAGGGTCTGATGTGTCCAAAATTAGAGTTGTTGTTCTCAAGGTTAGGGAGAATGATGTCAAGGCCTTCAAGGAGATTCATGACAGGTTGGATGGAGTAAGCATATCAGCCAATGTAAGCTTTGAACAGTTCAAGGAGGCTATCTGCAACACTCTCACATATTTTCTGCGCCGTTGATATGGATAATGGATGTTTTAAGACAATTTCTTTTGCTCTGCTGATTGTTGTTTTGTTTGCTGTTTTATGGGCTGTTTTTTTCAGCCGTTGGATGATTTCTAAACCTTATCTGCTTCCATGCTATCTATTCTGCTTATAGTTTGTCTTGTTCCCTCTTTGCTGATGCCAGAAAAGGGGGAGAAAAAAGAGGTATAAAGTTTATCTATACAGGTACAGAAGTCGACTGGGATGGACCAGTTGATATGTTTATGTGTAAGTTTATCTATACAGGTACAGAAGTCGACTGGGATGGACATGTTTGTGTGTAAGTTTGTCTATACAGGTACAGAAGTCGACTCTAGCATCAACTGCATATATTAAGGGGGGAGCATCACGGACCAGTCAGCTGCATACATTGAGGGGTAGTAACTTACAGGGAAGTCGACTGGTGTTTATAATTATATATTATTTTGTCATCATCAAAAAGGGGGAGATAGTTTTAATGATGAAAATAATATACATATGCAGGAAATCAATTACAAGGAGTCAAGAGGATACTACAAGACTGCTGGAGTAAATCCTGACATATAAGGGAAGAAATAAATCAAGGCTCAACAACAAGATCAGCAAATCTGGCTTACTAGGGAAAGGATTCGCGAATCTGGGAAGAATCCTATCAAGCCAATCAATCAGCATAAAATATCAACCAGCTGCGATAGAGAGAATCAAGCTCGCGACTAACTTTGGAGAGTCGAAGATCCTCCTAAAGTTAAGGCACGGATCAAGGGCAGCATTTCGGAAAGTCAAAGATCCTAAAGAGATTGGTACGCGACTAATTTTGGAAAGAACCAACATTCAAGGAGCAGGCCTTTACTACATACATTTGCTGAAGAAAGGAAATCAAGGAGAAGTAACGGGTAGCTACCTTATTCTTGGAAAGAATCAATTTCCTTCCAAGGATCAAATCTCTTGGGTTGTCAAGCATCGATCCTCATCAAAGTATTTATACCCAGTCTTACACCCTAGTCACATATACTTTGATCGCACCAAAAACCCTCTCTTTATTCTACTGCAAACAAATATTGTAGTTCTCTTAGATCTGCTGTGTAACAAGCTAGAGAAAGAAAGGAGAGTGCAAAACTGGTGAGGCTTTGTATCTAAAAGAAAAACGAGTGTTAGAGGATCTGTAATATCAAGTCATATCCACTATACTCGAAGAAACATTTACTGAAGAGAACTCCCTTGCAACCCAAGGGGACTGGATTAGGATTCACATTGAATCCGAACCAGTATAAAATTCCGGTGTCTTTAATTCCTGCAATTATTTATCTGTAATTTCATTCTGTTATTATATCTGCTGAATTACCAGATCTAGTCGACTAATTACTTAACTAGTCAACTAATAAATTGATAAAGTTTAAAAATATACAATTCACCCCCCCCTCTTGTACTTTCATGTGTGAGGCCAATGTTATATTATACTCGTGTGATTTGGCCCTGGGCATATAATATGTTTTCTGGGCTGCGTGCAGGTTTGGGATAGTTAGAGCTTTTATAAAAAAAATTCAAAATTTTATAAGAGTTAACTCCCTCATATACACCTCTACATTCGAGGACGAATGTTCTCCGGGGGAGGGGGGAGTGAATGTGATACCCATGACGGAAGGCAAGCTGATGAGGGCGGGTCAAGTAGGATTGGCAGGCTTCTAGATTGGCGAGCTTTTGAAGAAGGATTGCACATGTCACCTTAGAAGAGTCCCACATCGGAATGAAAGAGAAAAGTGAAAAGCTTTATAAGGCATGACACAAGTTCACATGGTACGCACACTTTTGGGGTTCGAGGTGGCGTAGCACGAAAGACAAATCCGTGCGGGCCTATGCCTAAAGAGGACAATATATGCCATGAGCTTGGTTCATGACAAATATGGTATCAGTGTCGAATCTCCCTCAGTATGGTAGTGGGGCAAACCTCAGGGGCCAACTGAGTTTAGGCGAATCCCACATCTTTGATAAGGTGGTGGGGCAAACCTCAGCGAGGATGCTGAGTCCCAAGGGAGTTGGGAGGGGGGGAGGGGAGTGAATATGATATCCATGACAAAGAGCGTGTTGATAAGGTTAAGTCACGCAGGATTGTCATGCTTCTAGGCTGGCAAGCTTTTGAAGAAGAGTGCACATGTCACCTTAGGAGAATCCCACATCGGAATGGAAGAGGAAACTAAAGAACTTTATAAGGCATGACACAAGTTCACATGGTCAGCGTGCTTTTAGGCTCGGGTGGTGTAGCCCGAAAGAAAAATCTGTGCGGGCCTAAGCCTGGAGCAACAATACATGCCATGGGCTTGGTTCATAACAAATATGGTATCAGAATCGAATCTCCCTCAGTACAGTGGTGAGGAAAACCTCAGTGACCAACTGAGTTTAGGTGGATCCCACATCTTTGAGAAGGCGTTGGGGCAAACCTCAGCGAGGATGCTGAGTCCCAAGGAGGGGTGAATGTGATGCCCATGACGGAGGGTGAGCTGATGAGAGCCGGTCAAGCAGGACTGGTAGGCTTCTAGGTTGGCAAACTTCTAAAGAAGGGGTGTGAAGAGCTTTATAAGACTTGATACAATCACATAATAGACGTGCTTTTGGGGCTCGAGGTGGCATAGATCAAAAGATAAATCCGTACAAACCTAGGTCTAAAGCGGACAATACATGCCATGAGATTGTTTCATGACAAGTAATTCACATAGTATTTTGGTTATTTTGCTAATTTTTCATGTTACTTTAGGGCCGTTTGGCCATACAAAAATTTTCATTTTTTTAATTTAAATTGGTTGTTTGGCCTTAAAATTTTCAATTTTCATTTGAAGATGAATTTCGGAATTTCTTGAAAATTTGAAAAACTCCAAAAGGCTATTTTTTAAATATTTTTACTTCAAATCATTCACAAAAATTTAAAAACAGCTCAAAATTGTATTCATGTCCAAACACTAACTCTAACTTTTAAATACTATTTTCACTTTGAAAAAATATTTTACTTTTTTCCGGAATGTTACAATTCTTATGTCCAAACGCTCGCTTAGTTTCGGACTCTACCTTTTCCCTCCTTCTCTCCAAAAGGGAAAAGACAAAGAAAAGGAAATTCAAAATGGAGGGAGCAATGCAAATATTTTTGAAAAGAATTTGAAATGACGCGCCATGCTGAGCTGTTTTCTATAACAGATGCAGGCGTGCTATTTAACCATTCGCCGATCACTGTTCCCATCATTCCCACTTCTTTGGTCCAAGACAAGACAAGAAAATCCTCTCTTTCTCTCTCACCCCCCATACTTCACTCAAAAAGAGAGTAAGACCCAAAACCAGTAACAATGGTGAAGGCGCTAAGCAAGAGAGGAGCAGCCAAAGAAGTAGAAGAACAAGGTCCCAACAACGTCAATGATGGAGCAGCAGAGTACGAGAAGCAAAGAGCGGAGAGAATCAGAGAGAACAAGGAGAGAATGCAGAAACTGGGCATTCTCGAACTTTCCAAGAAGATCAATACTGCAAATGCCCCTTCCAAGAAACCACCACCGAAACCCACTCCTCAAAGAGACCGCCAGCCATTGTCAACTGACCCACCTCGCCGCTCTTTTAGGTTACATCCAATTAAAACTTTCTTTCTCCCCAAAACTAATTAAATCTGTTGCTTTGCATTTCGTTGTTTCTATGTCTACGTGGACTTTATTCTATGGCGTTTTTCTCTACTTAGCCTTTTACATTTTATATCACATTTTTCGGGGTTTTCCATTCTTCCTTGTGATTCTCCAAAAAGTAGGAGAGATAAGAATGTTCTGGTTCCTATTGTGTTATATTGGATATAATAAGGGGCGGAGCTAGAATGTCGGTACCAGGTTCAGCTAACCAGTAGCTTTAATACGAACCTTGTATTTGTCTTAAAAATTCATTAAATATATGTAAGTTATTAATTTAGAACGTCGTAACTTAAAACGATTAGAATCCCGAACTCATAAGCTTGAAATTTTAGTTCCATGGACATCCATTCTTTTTAATGAGAAAAGTTATGCAGAAAAAATGTTTGTTTATAGATACTATGGTTTTGACTCTCAATAAAAGTAGATAACAAATCTTACCTCCAGAAGGTGAGAAATGTGTTATGAGCATAGATGCTGGTGACAGTTTGGAGTATCAAAAGTTGGCGACAATTTTTATGTGTTGGTGAAAATAAACTGGTTGAAAAATGTGTACCCTTTGCCATTTTCTTGCGGTTGAAAACAGCTTTAACCAACCAACTGGTGAAAAATAATTATGCCACACTAAACACAACTGAGTGAAATCCCACTAGTGGGGTCTGGGTAGTGGCAGACCTTACCCCTACCTCGAGGGGTAGAGAGGCTGTTTCCGATAGACCCTTGTCTGAAGAAGACGAAAAGATGACGAAGAAGACGAAAAGAGACAATATATCAGTACCATCAATAAGGTAGAAAGAAATAACAACATCACAAGAACATAGGCGAAAAGCAAAACAATAGCGAGTAGATAAAGTCCGACACTAAGAGTTATGCCACACTAAACACAGCTTAAGGAAAAAGGTTTTGCTAATGAGGCCTGATTAAAGTGGATATATTGGTTTGTGCTCAATATCTCATTTGGTGTTTTCTTGTGTTAAGAGGGTATTGATTTTCCATCCAGTAGAACCTTTCTTGGTCTCTCTTTTCCCAATCCCGAAACAATATTGTTATTGAATGATGTTTAAATGTTTTTAGGTTGAAGGATAAGCCTCCAGTTAGTTACAATGAACGTAGGACTCCCAACAAGGAGAAGATATCAATAGAGGATTTGGAGATTAACATAGCAGAAGGTGAAAACCCCGAATTCTACACGGAGGAACAAGAAAAGCTTTTAGGTGATTGCCAGAATGCTTGGACTCTCTATGTTGATGGTTATGATGAAGACGGCCAGCGCATATATGATCCTGATAACGGCAAGTCATGCCATCAGTGCAGGTCTAACCATTTGTTCTCACTATCTGTCTTTTGTTGCTTTTTTTTTTTTTTTGCTTATTTCTTTATAAAGGTACTGTTCTATGCAATCCATAGAAAACAATTTGCATTTTTGATGTATTTGAAGGAGTGATACGATTTTGTAGAGGCTAAATTTGAAGTTTGAATTAGTGTGTGAATGCATATAAAAGCGTGAGAATGGGAATAGTGCTTCAAAGGAATAAAAAAGAACAATTAGTATCTTATTGCTATGTTGGGTTTGTTTAGTACTTCTGATCTTTGTTCTTGTAAAAGAATTTGAACAGAAAGCTACTGAAAGTGGTATTTCATAGTATGTTAAATTTGAATGGTGAACTTAATTCTTGATATGAAACATCACGATCCTTATGGAAGGATGAGAATATGGGCGATAACCTAAAGAAGTGTGAATGTGATTTTTAAACCAAAAGAAAGAAGTTTGCATCTTAACTTTAAAAATGTAATTGGCATTTAGTGGTATTTTTTTTGTATGGCGCAACGTACTAGTCTTGAAAATTGCATCTGATCGTGTATCTTTTAAGTAGTTCTGTAAATTGTTCTCGTTTGCTTCCAAAAGTAAATAATTGTCTGCTGACAATCATAAGAGCCAACATTGTATGAGAAGCTGAAAACATTATTCAACAACTAGTAAGTTTGCGAAAGCTTTCCAGGTTAAAAAAAAAAAGAAAATCACCCGGTAATTCTGGATATGAATCTCAATTCAAAGATGACCAAACCTGTCTTGTCTGATCAAAATATCCATCTCTATTTAGTATGAATAACTGATGCTTTTCTTGCCAATGTGGAAGCTAGCTGAAAGCCTGTCGTTTATTAAAGAGTGAATAACACCATTTATGAACTTCTGGATTGAATATTGCAGTAGAACTCTGAGATTATGTATCTACTTATGGTTGTGCAATCTTTAGCGCATATGCTTGCATCTCAACCTTCCAAATGCTTGTATTCACTTAGAGCAGAAACCATTTTGTTCATGACACCCGTCTTAGAGACAGCAAATAGGTGTCTTCATCACTATTGCAGAGTACTTTGATTCTGCATTCGCTTTTACTATCAGCTCTTAGAATTTTATAAAATAATAAGCTCTTTTGCCAACTTCAGGATAAAATCCTTCTTTGTACAATCAACTGGAATCTATCTAACCTTCTCTTGTTTCGTTCTATTGCTTGATGTTAAATTGTAACCGAGAGATACTTGATGCAATTGCAGGCAGAAAACTCTTGGTCAACACACTGAGTGCAGCAAGTGCAAGCTGGTTCAAGGACAGTTCTGTGGAGATTGCCTGTGCATGAGGTGATAACGAATGAAATCCTCTTAGCCTTTCTTCTGTAGAATTTTCATTTCTGGCTAATTTTCTGTCCTGAAGTACAGTTTCTGACGATCTTAATGCCTACAATATTTTATCCTCCCATAGATTTTTAAACTTAAGCTTGTTTACTGTCTTTGACAAAATAAAATGGAATTTCCTTTTGGAAGTATACATATGAGGAGGTGCTGCCAATACTTTCCCAATGATATAAGAATACAAGCAAGAGTAGCTTTCTTTCACACAATGGATGATTTCCCTCCCATTTTCTGAAACTTATTTGGTTAATAAGCTGTTAAAATGTCTACGGATCTAATCACTTGAGCTTTAAATTATGATAGGTATGGGGAGAATGTCATTGAAGCAAATGAAAATCCAAACTGGATATGCCCCGTCTGCCGAGGAATCTGTAATTGCAGTCGATGCAGGCGCGAAAAGGGGTATGCACCAACTGGTGCTATTTATAGAAAGGTGACATTCTTTAGCCTTCAATTCTGAATTCATGATCTCTTGCCTTGTAATCACAAAGGATTCTCTCTCTGTAAATATATAAGTTTGAGTTCAAAGAGATCCCTAAGAAAATACACATGTTTCCAGGTAGTTCGTCTTGGTTACAAATCTGTGGCACATTACCTTGTGACAACGCGATTGCTGAGTGACCAGGAAGACTTAAGATCTGCGGATTCACCTTCGGGAAAGAGTATAGTGCCATGCGCTGAGTTTGCAGATACTCTTTCAACTTTTCAAACTGACGATAACAAAGATTTGAAGGGGGGAGAATGTACAGAGACTGGCCATGATGATGAATATTCCGATCAAGAAGAGTCAGCAAGTGAAACAATGATAGAAAACAAGAATGATCTATGCCTGACAGAGTGAAAAGGAACACACCCCTACATGTATATCAGACTTGATGCAGAAGCTTTAGAAAATATAATATCAACAAAATGCTAATTTTTGATCTACAAGGGCTAGAAGTAGTATGTCGCTATTCCTCAGTCTAATCAGCAGCTCGGTTAGAAGGATTAACTTCTTTTTCCGCTTGTGTATACCATTGTAAGCTTCCCAAGGGAGAAAAAGGCTGTGTTTTCGTTATATGCATCTTTTTATTTATTGCTATTATAACTTGGGTATAATAGCCTGTTTGGCCAAGATTCTTTTTGGCCAAAAGTGCTTTTTTTTGGGCGAAAAGTGTTTGACCAAGCTTTTGGAAGGAAAAAAAGTGCTTTTTAGGAGAAGCAGAAAAAAAGTAGTTTTTCTTCGAAAGCACTTTTTTGAGAAGCACTTTTGAGAAAAATACAATTAGAAGCAGTTTTTTAAAGCTTGGCCAAACACTAATTGCTGCTCAAAAGTGTTTTTCAAATTAATTAGCCAAACGCAAACTGCTTCTCACCAAAAGTACTTTTGAGAAAAGCACTTTTGAAAAAAAGCACTTCTCAAAATAAGCTGATTTTTGCAGTTTGCCCAAACGGGCTATAACTTAACAGTCTCATTTTTGCCTCAAGAATCCTTCAAAAGAAAAGAGTAGTCTCTTTTTAAAAAATCAGCTGTAGTATGATAATACTAATTCCATACCATACTTGAGTGTTTGTTTTTCTTGAGAAATTAAAGCGATTTTGAATTTAAGTTGATGGGCAAAAAGTTTTTTTTTTTTCGATACTATAAGTAGAGACATGTCTTGCACGTCTACATGTATAAATATTCTTTGCTGAAAATGTGAACTTACGAGCAAGAACTGCAAAATCACTTTTTTAAAGAAAAATTTCATAAATGCACTACTAATTTTAGCACAATTGACTATTTGTATGCTTCTCTCTCTTTAGTCTACCTCCTTCCTCCCCCTTTTTTTCCTCGCGTAGCCTACCTGATCTGTGCCCCCTCTTCACTCCAATACTAAATATTTATCTTTAACATCAAATTAGGATTCTAGAAAAACTAAAGCATGTGGTTATTTTTCTTCCATTCTTAATTCAGCCGTTTCTTTAGCTTTATCACTAAGTGTTCCCTTTGTCGGCAGGATGTTAATCCAATGCGTTATTATATATACTCATTTCACAAAAATATAATTATACGGCAACAACAACAACAACAACCACCTAATAAAATCCAACTAGTGAAGTCTGGGGAGGGTAGTGTACACGCAGACCTTACCCCTACCCCGAAGAAGTAGAAAGGTTGTTTCCGAAAGACCCTCGACTCAAGAAAATAAAAAGACAAAAGGAGACAATATTAGTATCACCACAGAAATCATAGGAAAAATAATAACAACATGAAATCCAGAAGAAAGATGCGAAGCAAAAGCGATAGCTAGTAAATAGGTCCTGCACTGAATAGCGAAATAGTAAGACACAAAATTGCCACTAGCTATCCTATACAAAAACCCTACCATACTAGTCTCACAAAGGTACGAAGAAAGGCAGGACTCAACTACCTCCTAACATACAACCCTAATACTCGACCTTCACATCTTCCTATCAAGTGTCATGTCCTCGGAAATCTGAAGCCTCGCCATATCCTGCCTAATCACCTCTCCCAAATACTTCTTAGGCCGCCCTCTACCTCTTCTCATGCCCTCCACAACTAGCCGCTCACACCTCTTTACCGGAGCATTTGAGATTCTCCTCTGAACATGCCCGAACCATCTGAGCCTCGCTTCCCGCATCTTGTCATCAATGGGAGCCACGTGCACCTTCTCCCGAATATCATCATTCCTAATCTTATCCATCCTAGTGTGCCGCACATCCACCTCAACATCCTCATTTCTGCTACTTTCATTTTCTGGATATATGAGTTCTTAACATGCCAACACTCAGTCCCACACATCATGGCCGGTCTAATCACCGCTTTATAGAACTTACCTTTGAGAGCTCGTTTGGCCAAGCTGCCAAAAACTACTTATTTTGAAAAGCGCTTTTATTCAAAAGTGCTTTATGAAAAAGTACTTTTGCAAAATAAGTAGTTTGTGTTTGGCCAATTCGTTTGAGTAGTGCTTTTTGCAAGCTCATTGTGTTTGGCCAATATTGTTAAAAAGCACTTTTAAATATCAAATTACGAAAAAGGACAGTAAAGATTCAATTTGTGATTAGTATTATTTAGAAAAGAAAAATAAATTTAAACATTTTTTAGAAAAAAATTCCATTAAAATATAAAATGTAAAGTAAAAATATAAATTAAAAATTCTCATTAATATAATATAGTTATTCCAAAGCAATAATATTGAGTGTTTACTATTACTTATTATTTACATCATAATTTAAATATATCAAAATACATCATTCAATATAAATTTAAAATCTACTCTTAGGAATAGGAGAAAGAGAATAAAAATGCAATTAAAATAAAAAAAAGAATAAATGTATAGCAGAAATTTAAAAAAAAAAGGAAAGCGAAAAGGAAAAGGAAAAGGAAAAGAAAAATTAAATTAATGAGGGATAATTTAAAAAATATAAATTTATTGCAAGGTGATTTTTGTCTTGAATAAATTAACTTTCTGCTTCTGCTTCTACTTTTTGGAAGAAGCTAGAATTTTTAGCTTCTCCCCAGAAGCAGAAAAACTACTTCTGTTGCTGCTCAAAAGTACTTTTTCATTTTGGCCAAACACATTAAATTTTTCAAAAAGTGTTTTTTTTACCAAAAAAAAGTAATTTTGGCCTCCTAGAAGCTTGGCCAAACAGGCTCTGAGTATCGGTGGCACTCTCTTGTCACACAGGACTCCAGATGCTAACCTCCACTTCATCCATCCTATCCCAATATGGTGTGTGACATCCTCGTCGATCTCCCCCCCCCCTGGATAACCGACCCAAGGTACTTGAAGCTGCCTCTACTTGGGATGACCTGTGATTCAAGCCTCACATCCACGCCCACTTCCCCTGGCTCAGTGTTGTACTTACACTCCAGGTATTCCGTCTTCGTCCTGCTCAGCTTGAAACCCTTAGACTCAAGAGTCTGTCTCTAAACCTCCAGCCTCTCGTTAACACTGGCTTGTGACTCATCAATCACAACTATGTCATCGGCGAATAGCATGCACCATGGCACCTCCCCTTGAATATGTTGTGTTAACGCGTCCATCACCAGGGCGAATAAGAACGGACTGAGCGCAAAACCTTGGTATAACCCTATTACAACCGAAAAATGCTCAGAGTCGTCTCCAACTGTCCTAACCCAAGTCTTAGCCCCATCATACATGTCCTTAATCTCCATAATGTAGGGAACTGACACACCTTTCGCCTCCAAGCATCTCCGGGGAACTTCTCTAGGAACCTTGTCATACGCTTTCTCTAGGTCAATAAACGCCATGTGCAGATCATTCTTCCTCTCTCTGTACAGTTCCACCAACCTCCTAACAAGGTGTATAGCTTCTGTAGTAGAACGACCCGGCATGAACCCGAACTGGTTGTCGGATACAGACACTGTCATCCTCACCCTCGCTTCAACCACCATCTCCTACACTTTTATGGTATGACTCAGTAATTTGATACCCCTATAATTGTTACAACTCTGAATATCACCTTTGTTCTTATACAATAGAACCACCGTACTCCACCTCCACTCATCGGCATCCTCTTCGCCTTAAAAATAACATTAAACAACCCAGTCAACCACTCCAAATATTAAATAGCCACGTGTGTCCTCCTTTGTTTGACCAACGAATTGTATTGGAAAGGACCAAGTCTTGCTATATCTGTAAAGTTTGGTTGTTCGTTTTGTCTGTGATATTAACTAGAGACAAAAGTGAATATAAGTTGCTTATTTGATCTTGAAATCACCGTTAAACATTAGTAGTTTGTTGGTTTGAATCCTAGAATCTATATCTATATTATTATAAAAGTGGGAAGCCCATTATTTGAAAGTTAAATTACTTAAATGTCCTTCTGATTTATTTAAATACCCTAATTAACTAAATTGCATACCATATTTATTATAGTAATTAAGGAAACCTACGAATAGACGCGACTATATAGATTGTTTTGAAGAGAGCCAAAACGTTGCTCTTCTGCTCTTCAAGAGTTGCCATGTTTTTCTTATCTTTAATCCGTCAACGAGTGTTTTACCAAATTATCATCTTCTCTTCTACTTGATCATTAGATTGTCGGCGCTGCTATTATTCCGTTTCCTGACTAAATCCATGGCGAAATCTATCTTGGCGAAAATATTTTGTAAGTTACATAGCAGAAAACCTTCATATCTGTAGAAACTTTCTCATATTCCTCCTTGGCTTTGTTTCTCCACTGGTTCTTTGATATGGTTACCTTGATCGGTTTCTAAATCTACTTCTACAATTTATCTTTGAAGTTAAATATTTCTGCGAATTAATATAATTTAAAGATGATTATAGATTAATTGACTTTGAATTTTTTTCGGCTTTGATTTCTCTATTTCTCTGTTGCCCTTTGGTTTAGCGGAGAATAATAAATTAGATTCTTCTGCCAATAAGGAATTATACTAAAGTAGTCTGGCTTATGGCACTTGAGCAATATACTAGAATCTAATAGTTAATTTTATTATTATTAATAATTGTGTTTGTGTTTAGTATATACCCATATTTTCTGACCACAAGATAAACAACAAAAAGAGAATCAATAATCATAAAATATTCCACAAACTATTAGGAACTTTGTATATATAATATCAAATCTGGCACCCAAAGAACCTTTTTTGCACTTTAGTTCTGTTACATAATTGGACATAGTTGATATTGAAAAAGATCATAGTCAATGGAGGCAAAAAATAATAGGTTAGCTGTGGAAAGCATGATAGTTTTTTTAACAAGGTGAATTGCTGTCAATTTAATTTTATGGGAAGAAAATTTTGTATGATATTTTTAATTAATAAAATAAACTTCAGAAAAAAGGGCATGTGACATGTAACATTTGTATTTAGTTTGAACTTCACATAAATATCGAAGTTAGTAAACTGTAAGAATAACAAAAGATGAAAGGATGTATATTATTTAGATCTTACCTGGAGATGTATAACTACTCTTGCAGTATTTTGTAACATAAATAGTTTTAGAATATGATATCTGAAGAAAGAAGTTCACATATGATGTATAACTTTACTATTATCTATTTCTTGCTCTGGCAAACATCATATATATATATATATATAGGGAGAGAATATGATGAAATGAAATATATATTGACCAACAGTTCTATAAGTCATCATTCTACTATATACATTTAGTTTATTGCATTCCTGAAATTATGTTATTTGTATTATATTTCCTACAGATTGCGATAATATACTTTTATTTCATCTTGATTGTTCCAGAAAACTAAAGGAACAAAGCAACAAAGTGTATCATTTTGATGAATATACTAAATCTTTTTACACTTCCTCTCTTTTTAAGTTATGTTTTAATTTGTTTCCACATCTTATAAATATTCTTTTATTAAAATTAAGTTACTCTAATTTGAGTTGCATTTAGTTAAATTGGGAGTGAAAGAAGAGCTATTTGTTATGATATGTAAAGGAAGGACCATGATCATCCAAGAAGGATAACAAGCTATATGATTTTATTGAAAAACAAGAGATTGAGTACTTTGAATTCTACATGGACATATTTGGAGCTCTTCCTTAAATTTATATTGATTACCTATTTTTCATTCAATAAATAAAAAAGACTCATTGTGCAATGTAACCTTTCATAATCATCGATAAGATTGAACTCTAATATTTATGAATGTATAAATATTACTTATAGATGTATATAATAAAGCTGAAAATTTTGTACATAACATGTACATTAAATAGAAAAAGCGAGGCTTGAATATTTCAAAAAAAAAAGAATCAACCTTGAGAAAATAAGTACACCAAAGAGCAATTGATTTTATTGTTGCTGAAGGATATAAAGAAGATAAAGTTGATCGAAGAATCCTGCTTCCAGCAACGTCGATTGGAGCCAGCAAAATCCAAAAGGGAGGTATATTAAAGTTTAGGTGATGGCTGGAAGAATGAAGATAGAGTAGCTCGGAGAGTATGCTTTCTGATTTTATTTAACAAAGGTCTTGCAGTTAGGCGATAATGCTGGTATTTGGTATATTTAATGTGTAATTTATAATTAAATCTAATACCTTTTGATGTATACATATTAAAAATTATTACATATTAAATATAAATATAATACACGTGCAACGCACGTGCAGAGAGACTAGTTATATTGAAAAATGCTATTGGAAGTCATTGAAGTTAGCTTAAGCTTGATTTTGAAAATTTCAGTCTACGAAATTAAAATTTATTTTGGGTGAGTATTGTTGGAATAGATTAAAAACATTTTAAGGAGTTTGAATCTCAATTTTGGGGAGATTAGAATTGAAATTTTAGCCAAATTTGAAGTAGAAAATGAACATGAAAGAAGATGATATGTTGTATCTCTATATATATCTCCAGTGTATCATTTGTGTATCCAGCTATATGTATCAAATGTGTATCCTTTTGTATCATCTATATATCCATGTATTTCTATACGTGAGATAAATGTGAGAAACATGTTAGATATATATGTTGCAGAGAAAATTTTAAACTCGATTCAACAAATTTTGACTCTAAATCAGTCCAACACCTCCAATCTTCCTCAATGTTTATATATTGCCGTATCTGTATGTTTTCAAATGAATTTCAAACATATCCATTATAAAAACCCTTTTCCTATGTTTTTTGAATTTTGTATTTTGACTCCAAGCCAGCCCAAGTCATCTTCATTCTCTCTCAGATTTTGTATATTGCCTTATTCATGTATTTTCGACGAACTACAACCATACCCATTAAAAAAAAATCCCTTTTTAACTAGCTAGGTTATTTAAATGTTGTATATCATTGGTAACTTTTTATAGCTTTTTTGGTAGCATGATTTAATGGCTAATTGTTGGTAAATATTGTCTAATTTTGGCTGTTCTTGTAGTTTTCTGTGAACAAAAATGCAAATAATTGATATACTAGTACAATAAGTACTTCTAGCTGAAGAAAAAGAATCAATCAATTAACTCATGGATCATGATTCATTGTTTTCACGAGGGGAAGTTAAAGGAAACAAGGTGAGTAACTCTAGTTCTGCAGCATTTCCATATTTAGACCTTGGAGATGGATGCAAGTAAAACCTTCTTTCTTTGATGGCCCTCTCTTCGCCCACCTCGTTGATCATCTCAGCGGATGGAGAAGCTCGTTTATTTGGACATGAGGGCTTAACTGTTGTACACTGAAAGGACTAAGAGATAAACTTGAGGGGCTTGATTACATAGCTTGAGAAATTTTCATGGATCATGATTCATTGATGTTGTTCACTAATTTTTGATGCTTTTTAAACCTGCAAATCAGTTTCGTAATTAGTGAATGTCTCACCTCATGAACAATAATAGGCTTCTTGATCCCTGAAAGTTGAGGGAAAAGCTTTTCAAATTATCATATAATGAGCAGTAATAGGTAGGGATGACAGGATTCAAAGAGAAACTAGATGATTTCACTTCTCATTTCAGCTGCACTTATAATTCCATATAATAGGGAATTCTGATTTCAACCATTCCTTGCTTACTTCCCTTTTTGAACTAACTAAACATAAGATGTAAACAAAAAAGACCATACATGTTTCATAAATTGCCACAAAACAGATAGAAAATTCTAATTTTATTTTCCTGGTTTCAGATGCCAGAAATTGCATATGAATCCATGTTGATTCCCAGCACTTATATATATATATATATATATATATATATATATATATGTCAAAATCAAGAATATGTAGATTTTGGCACTTATAATATAACAAATGCATCTTTATTAATAACCTGCATTGAACGTGGACATCTCATCAACCATATATGTCAATGGATGAATTAAGTTTCATGACGATAACCATAACAATATATAGTATTATGAAAGAAGAAAACCTTTTAAATACGAAAAGAAAGACTTGGAGGGAAAAACTGGATTCAGAGCGTTTTATAAGGAGGTTGACTAGTTTGAACCTTAAAATGGTCAATTTGGTCAACTTCCAAGGAAAGCTTCCCTTTTGAATATTCTCACTTGTTAATATATTAAGGCTTTTCTAGTTCCGAGCGCTAACCATTGGAGATTTGACCGCTATTTTTTCCTTAATTTTCTCTATGATTCTTATTTTTCGTCCTCTTTTTGCTTTTTCTTTGTGCTTTTTAAGTTTGTTCAATCCCTTTTTCTTTTCTCTCTTCGGGGTTTTCCAGCTCGATCCATCTGAAAAAGGATAAGCTGGCATTATTGACTTGCAGCGACTAAAATTAAAAGGAAAAATAAAAAGGAAAAGTAATAATGTTACAATTACGTATCAATATCTATATCTATCTATATATCTATATCTATATTTATTTATATTATTATAAAAGCACGAATAATTTATGCTAAATGTTGAATGACTAAAATATTCCTGGAATATTGATCGACTTTTACGCCCTTATATATGTGTATAATGTAAGGATTTAATTCTAAATTACCTAATGATGGAATTCTTTTTCGATTTAAACTACACATACACCGGCCTTACAAAGTTGACCCTACTTGAATTAGAAAGACGCGTCCACAATTCCCTCTTTTTTTATACGTAAGATGCTTATGTGCATATAATGAAATTGCATACATGGAGCTATAACCTCTTTTTGTATGTTGTGATTTGTTTTCTTTTCTTGTATGGTTTTTGTAACGACCCGGCCGGTCGTTTCATGAGTTACCGCTCCGTTTTCCCCATTTCTGCTTCTTATTGCTTTGTTTATCGGTTCTATGTATGATCGGGTTGGTTGGCTCGGGTTCGAAAAGGTTTTGGTAAGGTCTGAGACACTTAGTCTCTTTTGAGGAAGCTTAAGTTGGAAAAGTCAACCGGATGTTGACTTATGTGTTAGAGGGCTCGGATGTGAGTTCTGATGGTTCGGATAGCTTCGGGAGGTGATTTGAGACTTAGGAGCGTGATCGGAAGGTGTTTTGGAGGTCCGTAGTAGATTTAGGCTTGAATTGGCGAAAGTGGAATTTTGGCGTTTTCCGGTTGATAGGTGAGATTTTGATATAGGGGTCGGAATGGAATTCCGGGAGTTGCAGTAGGACCGTTGTGTCATTTGAGATGTGTGTGCAAAATTTCAGGTCATTCGGACGTGGTTTGATAGACTTTTTGATCGAAAGCGGAATTTGGAAGTTTTTAGAATTCTTAGGCTTGAATACGATGCAAATTTGGTGTTTTGATGTTGTTTTGAGCGTTCCGAAGGTTGGAACAAGTTTGAATGATGTTATGGGATATGTTGGCATGTTTGGTTGAGGTCCCGAGGGCCTCGAATGAGTTTCAGGTGGTTAAACGGACCATTTCATGTTGAAAAAGATTGCAGGAATCTGCTGTTGGGTGTTGCAGACTATTGGTCTTCGCGTTCGCGAGTGGGCCCTCGCGTTCACGAAGGGTTAGGCTGGGAGGCTGTGAAGTTGACCTTCGCGTTCGCGAAGGAGGTTCCGCGATCGCGAAGGGTCGAGCTCGTTGGTCATCGCGTTCGCGAGGATTGATGCCGCGTCCGCGAAGAGTTGAGTGCTGAGGCATCGCGTTCGCGAGGGTGTTGTCGCGTTCGCGTAAGAGGAAAATATGGTCAACGTCAGGATGTGCTTCGCGAACGCGAGGCTTTGACCGCATTCGCGAAGAAGGAATTAAAATAGCTGGGCTGAATGTTTAAAAGGCATGTTCCGCGATTTTGAACCCAAGTTCCTCCATTTTTGTGCTTTTTTAGAGCTTTTTGGAGAAGATTGAAGAGGGAATCAAGGAGGAACACTTGGAGGTAAGAATTTTGGACTAAATACTCAATCTTAATGTGATTTCTACCTATTTGATCATGGAAATTGTGGAAAATGAACCTGAAAATTTGATGTTAGGGCTTGAGATTAAGAGACCTAAAAATGGGAATTTGAGGGGTCATTTGGACTCCGATTTCAGTGTTCTTGATATGTATAGACTCGTGGGAGGATGAGGATCGTTTTGGCGTAAATTTTATCGAGTCCCGAGACGTGGTCCCGGGGGTCGGATTTGGTCAATTTCGGGATTTGCGTTGTAATTTGATTTCTTTCGAGTGGGCTTTGTTCCCTTAGCATAATTTGATGGTTTTGCACTGATTTTGGATAGATTCGGAGCATCCGAAGGCCGATTCGAGGGGCAAAGGCTTCGCGAGCTAGAGTTTGGGCTGGATTGAGGTGAGTAATGATTGTAAATGTTGTTCCGAGGGTATGAAACCCCGGATTTTACATCGTTGTGCTATATTGAGGTGACGCACATGCTAGATGACGAACGTGGGGTCGTGCACCGTTGGGGATTGTGACTTAGTCCATCCCGAATGACTATTTTACCGCGTATTTGATTAAAAACTGTTTGCTATCATCATGTTTTGGGCTGAATGCCATATTTGGGCCTAGTGCCAACTATTTGGACCCTTAGGGGATTTTTACTGCCATTCCCTCACTGTTTTGACTTTATACTTGTACTCAGTCATGTTATATTCTGCTGTTTTCATAACTTAGCCATGTTTACTTTGTTTTAACACCTTAAATGATATTTTAAATCATATTTTGGGCTGAACATCATGTTTTACTATTGCTCGAGTGGCTTATGAGATTCTGACTGAGTAAGACCGAGGGCCTATGTTGTAAGGATACTTTTGGGACGGGCTGCACGCTGCAACAGTGATACACTGATTATGATTATGAGACCGAGGGCCTGAGATTGTACGCCACGAGGTGGCTTGTTGATATGAGGCCGAGAGCCTAGTGATTATGCCACGAGATGGCTTGATATTGCGCTTGGGCCGTAAGGGGCCCCTCCGGAGTCTGTACACCCCCAGTGAGCGCGGGTACCCATTGTGATATGAGATATAGCCCGAGGGGCTGGTGTTGTTCTATTGTTAGTGCCCGAGGGGCTGATTCTATTTTTATTGTGCCCGAGGGGCGGCTTTTATGTGTTTATCTTTCCTAGCTGCCTTTCATTTACGTGTTTAACTGCGAAAAGGTATTTTTATGAGATTTCACTGCTTTATTGTACTTTACTGGTTTTATTCTGCTTCTTTATAGCATTTTGTTGTGTTTTACGAGAATTCTTATCGCTCAGTCTTCATTTATTGTTATTACTCACTGAGTTGGAGTACTCACTTTACTCCCTGCACCCTGTGTACAGATTCAGGCGCTTCAGGTCCTGCTAGCGAGGGTTGATAGCTTCCAGTAGATTTTTCGGAGTCCACTAGGTAGCTGCTCGGCATTCGCAGCCCAGTGTTTCTCCCTCTTATCATTGTTTCTTTTCCCTAGTACTGGATTTTGGAATAGACCGTGTAGTCCTTTTTCCATATTTCGAGACTTATGTTAGATGCTCATGACTGGTGACACCCCGATGTCAGGCTGTGTTGGTTGTTTTCCGCAAATCATGCTATTTCACTTATATTTTGGGATTATTAGCATGTTAATGACTTAAATTGTGTTATTATAATTATTTAATATGAATTGGGAGTTGTGTCGGCTGGCCTTGTCTTCACGAGAGGCGCCATCACGACCAGGTCTGGGTTTAGGGTCGTGACAGTTTTATTGCTATCTGACAAAAATTGAACCATTATATATTGAAATAGGAAGGAAAAAAGCTAAATAAAAAGCTTAAAGTTTTGACTAAACCAACCATAATTAAATTATTGATCTTCCAAGCCTAAAAACTTACCTATAACTAATTATTTAGAATTCAAAGGTCCTTAAATGCAGTAAAATTTTATTATACCTTCGTAATTGATGGAGTTTTATTCCTTAAAAAAATCATTCCCTCGAGTAAGTAATAGATGAGTTTTTCATGTACAAGAAACTTATTATTTGTACTAAGTCTTTTCAAAATTTATAGTAAAAACAACTAAAGAGACACTCCTATATTTATTAGCCTTTCTAAAACCAGCCGTATCGACCAAGAACAAAGATAGAGATGATACAAGCATGACGAACTATACCAAGTAAGGAACAAACACATGCCTCCTTACATTAATTTGATGAATGAAAGCAAATTAAAGCTTATGCAGTTAGATTTCAACTACTTTAGTATCTATTTTATAGTTCAACTAAATATATATTAATGTGGTTAAAGATATTACTATTTCTTGCACAAAGTTTCTACTAAATGACATTAATTCTATAGACGACGTGGCAACACACGTTTATAGAGACTAGTTATTATAAAAGCACGAATATTTATGCCAATGTTGAACAACTAAAATAACCTTGAAATATTGTTAGACGTTTATAACCTTAATTATTTGTATAATTTAAGGATATAATTATAACCTTCAAATCCTTTTTCTTTGCGGCATACTTCTTCGATCCTACTTTTTGTTGGACACTATATGGCCTGCTTTTTGTTGGATATATGGCCGATTTGGTTTCTACTCACCGTCAACTTTTTTTTTAGCCTTTTCCTTTTTGAACAATAATATTTTTCCTTATTTAATCTTCTCCCATAGAATTCAGCTTAATTGCACGAATCCATGTAGGAAAAGAATAATCCAGTTATTCCTATAAAAGATGTCATTGTTCCATATTATTCATTGTTCTCTAAAGGTTTTGGTGTAGAATGAAGCAATTTTCTTCAAAGGTATTATTAGTTCTCTCTATTGTTACCGTTTTTCGTAATTGAGTAATGCTTTAGGGTCATATGTATGAATTAGAGAGAAAAACAATGACATCTTAACTTTTATTGTAATTGCTTTTGTAACGACCCGACCGTCGTTTTGAGCTCTAGCGCGTCGTTCAGCGGTTTGAGGCCATGAGCAGCTTCATTTCAGGCATTATGACTTGTACGCGTGGTCGGAATTGAATTTCGGGAAGACCGGAGTTGATTTGGAAAGAGAATTCTCATTTCGGAAGCTT